GAATAAGATCTCAATAACTTACGTGCTGATGAAGTGAAACTCGCTACAGATTAGCATCCTTACAAGGTCTTCATTATGTCACTGCATCCCACATAAATAAATAAGTAGGTGAATAGGGAAAGTTTCCATAAGCTAAGTAAAATAATGTTGCCTAAGCAAGATGAATTCCCCTCTTTTTTCATCAAGGAGATTTTTGATTACACGTTTAATAAAAAACGTCTCTTTAGATATGTGGTCTGCATATCCCATTGTTGAGCGTTTAACACTCACAGGCTTAATGTCCTACGAAATAATAACCTCAGACCAAAAGCTGATTTGTCACGAATAAACATAATATAGTGACGACTTGTTAGAAAATGTCCCAAAATTTTCAAAGTCCTGCAAGTTTTTTATGTTGTAAAATGCATCCGGAACCTATCACAATAGAGTTTTATAACTCATACATTACACTCCATTCAACTGAAGAGCTATGGAGGTAAATAAATACTATTTATGGACCAATCTTCAGAAAGCAAATTGTTTGTGCTACTTCATACAGGAAAATTATAAAATCATTCATAAGATGTATCTCGTGCAAAATAAATATCAACATCAAGAGAGGACAATATTTGGATAAGTAGATAAGTGGTGATAGAACACTAATAAGGAACTGTAATATTGAAAGAATGTAACCGCATCTTTAAAATACTAAATACCGTAAAAAGTAGATTTTACGCAAAGTAAATCCCGATATGTATATTAGTACTTATTATTCTACTGCATTTCAATCATAGACAAGACTGTGTGTAGATTTCCCAATAATAAAAAAGAAAACATTTCTCCTGCCACATTGTCGCCAGTAGTTTCACAAAGAATAGTTGATTGGTTAATAAGTTATGATCACGAATTGTGAGTTAAAAATGTAACGGTATTTGATTACTTGAGGATAGGGGGACATGTACCAAAATGGATACAAAAGCAGCTGGATCCACAAACATCGATAAGCCTAGGTGGCGGAAAACTGTTATCATCCATTACAAAACATATCATTAATAAAGGTCACAGGACTGATATGAAACCACCCTTTATGATTTTGTATGGACACTACCAAGAGTATATACTTAGGTTTATTGAAAACGCAACCGTAAAAAATTTACGCCATGTTGTCTATGGAAAACATTTTGTTCCAATGCTAAGCCTGTCCTGATAATGTTTATTTTATCGTATTACCAAGGTTGTCTTCAGATTTTTATCTTTTTTCCCTTGATAGTCTTTCTTATGATTGGATTCCTTAATGTCATGTTTGTCCTTCCCCCACTCCTAGTTTTCATAAATAATGTCCTAACAATTAAATGTCTGATCACATTGCTCGAAATGTGTGACAGTATTTATTCATTATGGACTAGCTTCAAGCAAAATTCCAGTGTTTTCCAAGTGAATGATTAACAATCAGCCTCATCAAATATGGACTGCATAACTTATAAATAAGTTGAAACGTCATCACTCAGTTTTAATGGTATATCAATCTACTCATCTGAAAAATATGACTTAGTGAACTGAATTCGTTTGGGTACGCCAGTGATGAGTCTGATTTCAAAATAAAACAGCCGACATTTTATTTGAATCACTTTTATCTGATAAACAAGATCCACTGGTCAGTGTATGTGGTTTCAAAATACATATATTTTTAAATAGTATATTTTCAATGCCATCAAATAATTCACCAAATTATAGTTTTAGTAGTGCTTAGTTGATACGACGTTATGTATTCTGACATACGTGTTTGAACCTTGCATGATACCATTCGAACCTAGCATTTAGTAATTACTTGATTCCAGGAAAACATATGACTGAGTCAAGTAGGGTGTCAAATGTTGAAATACTTACGGAGACAACAGTATATACCCGTAGTTTTGTTGGCTATGATCATTTTCACACCATTTTAGAGGAATCTTTCCCAATAATTTTACCTTTTTAATCAATATTCATACCTACGACTAAATGGTGTCTTGCCAAATATTTGAGATGATTTTGTCCTTATCTAATAGATCTGAATGACTATACGGGGTACTATAACAAAACTAAAGCATTTAGGGATCAACACAACGGACGAATATTCATTTACAGAAACTATGGGTCCTGAATATGTAATATCACAGAGCTAAGCTAATCTGATTCATCTTTGACAATCAACTGTTCATAAGAAGATAAGTGCACGTTACTGTTAATAGTTCCTTTTTGTCTAAAACAGACGGAGTTTTCCTTGAATTAATTATCAAAGTAAACTAACATTACAATAAATGTTTACCTATCATTTGAAGATTATACAAAAGTCATCCAATTTTCCTTGTTAATACTATACAAAAGGCTTCAACACAACGGCATACAACATGATAATTCTGCGATAATATCTAATGGTAATACATATATATATATATATATATATATATAATGGTAATGACAGCTTTATTTCAATCAATATGTATGATACAGTATGGAGTTTTCAGCATGTAATTTTTCAACAAAGTCACTTCTAGAACAAAATTTTCAGTGGAAATAGTTATTGTATCTGAATAATGTTAATAATGGAAATTAAATGATGCACTCAAACACCTTGTGGACATCCGTGTAGTGGACAGTGAGGCATATCTCTTGTGTGAAGGTTAATGATACTACCAGGCTGCCCAAACCTCAGTAGGTCGAGTAGGGCATGAACCCGTGGTCCAATGCTGTAAGCCATCTCCCTAAACCACTGAGCCACAGCACCGCTTGAAGCAGTAATGTAAAAGATCCAGCTGGTTTTGGGTTAGTGTCCAGTCCATGGTGAATAACCAACGGAAAAGCAAACGTAATTTCGGCAGTGACGGTCTATTTATTCGGTACTAGAGTCAGAAACTAAAGTGAGATATCCGAGGGACAGTATATTGATGTGTTTTGCGCACTGAAAAGTTCGCTTCTATATAATTCAACATTTTATATTTCGTTATTAACTTTAGAAACGGCTGGCTGAAAACATATTAAAAATGTGAAACAGTACGTGATACGTTTAGGGGATATATTTAAATGATTAAAGATATTAAACAATTTCACCTGAGTTATAATCGGTGGAATCTTTTGGGACCCAAAGCTTCAAGAAGACTGCCGCCTTAGAAAACAGAGTAAAGTTGAACCTATTAGCAAAACGTTTGTCAACTGAACAAATAGACTGGTTAATTTGCAAACTGTAACTGCTTCTCTAGCAAAGACTGTACATATTATGAAATTTGATTGGATTACTCACTGTTTCCATAGCATACTCCTCGTGATCCATCTTTAAACAGCTGCTTTCATTAGTTTACGAAACATCAAAAATATGTTTCATTAAATTATGAAACATATTTTTGCCTGGATTGATTGGAACTTCAAACTTGTTCACATACTACCTGGTTCATTTTAAGTATTTTGATATACGGGTGAGTGAAAACACCCGAGTGTGATAGGAATATATACTAAACATTTATAAACGTAATCAGGTTGGGGAGGGCTTTGGTATTTTCACTATTCAATGCTTTGTTCTGCACATGATTAGAATTTTTCCATAAACAGGAAGTAAACACATCCATATCCCAAGATTTATTCCTCTTTTACGTGCATTTTTTGTGAATTAATTTGCATCTTAGTGATACGTGAAAATATGACTTTTTCTATTTGTAAGTGCTTTTTCTTTGTCCTCTAAAATTGGCATTGATGATGTCTTATTAATAGTTCTAAGCACCTTTACATAAACTGCCCATCAGTGATGAATTCTTGGACCAGATTTCCTGAAATTTTGTTTTCTGCATGTGGGAGCTATATTTTGTATCAAAAATGTTTTTTCAGTGATTTGTATCATTTTCGAATTTTTTTGTTGGTTGATGAGTTGACTTTTGTCGCTGGCTGGTATCGGTTAAAGTGTCACTTGTAATCACTTTCCTCTCGTCTTCGAGAAGATAAATAAAGGTTAGAGCTCCAGCTGAGTTTTAACTAACAAAACCGAATTATTAAAATATTTATCCAGGGAACGTTTTCTACTTAGCTGGCTAGGAAGTGTTCACTTGTATGTGTTTGGTAGTTAGTGACTTCGCATTATCAAATGAGTTAAACCAGTCATATCACTTTTTACTATCCAGAAATTTTATTGATCACAATCACAATGTTGTTCTCAATAACCATTTTGGTCTTGTAACAAATTGGAAAAATTATGCAGAGTAATGAAGTAAACTTTTTTCAGCAAATTATAACTGTACCACCTGTCTTGCTTTTGATGTTCAGTGAGAATTTGCTGGAAGGTGTTTTGCATTTTAAGGTAATATCTACATAATGAGCTTTCAAACGAGTTTCTGAAAATACAGTCCATGGCACTGAACGTTTTGGGGAGAAACCGTCTTGTTTTACGCACCTTTGAATTTTAAGTGTATAACGTAGTTTGTAAAATAATGTTGTCTCCCTATTTCAGAAAGCTAATGATTGACAATAAGCATTAAATTAAATTTACGGTTTCGATCTGCAGAAAGTCTTGATACTAAGAAAATTATGAAGGCCTGATATCCGCTGAACAGTTTAAAAAATAAATCATATATCACGAGTAAAGACAAAAATACCGTAGAATTCAGTTTCAGCTAAATAGAACTTTTCACTTATTTACTGGCTAGGAAAGTAAAATTTGCCGCAGACAACCTAGATCTTGCACTGATACTTGATACCACTAAGTAGAGAAGTAAATCTGCATTTCATAAGACTGGTGTCTTGAAACTACTTCTTTTAAGTTTTTAAGAACTACGTCATATCGTCAAACTATTTGTTAAACAAGATTCTTAGTCTAAGTTTCTGTATTCTTTCAGCTTTGTCTGTCGAATTATAATATAAGAGTGCACCTGTTTTGATGTTACGCCAACCATGATGTATTTTCTAAGCAGTAATGACTTTAAGATAACAAAGCAAAAGTTATTGTTTCTGTGAATAAAAGTTTTTATTCATATCAAAGTGTTTTACTTATGTTTTAGGCCCAGCCAAAATAATTGAACCACCAAACAATGTGAAAGTGATAAGTGGAGAAACCGCTCTTTTCTTTTGTCGTGTTGGGGGGAATCCAACTCCCACAGTGAATTTTCTACTTGACCGTCAGGTTAGCCGAACAGCTCCTGGGGTGGGTGGAGTTCTGAATATCCCTGATGGAAGTTTGCTACGTTTAACCAAGGTACATCGTGGACAGAATGGTTTGCAAGTTCAATGCATAACAAGAAATCATGTTGGAGGAGACAGCGCTTCAGCCTATCTCACTGTATATGACACCAATGACCGTAAGTAAATGTATTAGAAAGTAACACTTACTGAGGCTTTCCTACTTTGCTTGATAAATTTGTATCAGTACTAATTAGTTATTTCAGGAAACAAACTAAAGCTTTTTAAGCGTGAAGATCAGAATTCTTTCCCGAAAGTAGCCACCCGTAACCCAGATTATTCAAGGCGCTCTACCATCCATCTAATTTAAAGTTGTGTATTCGCTACTGTACAAGGCATGTTTTGACTGCATATACGTTAATGGTATTCCCGAGCAATCGTTTGAACCCAAAATATCAGATATCCTGGAAAAACATGAGAAATTGTCATTCATCCAAATATTCGTTCTGATCTTTTTGCCTGACATTGGATTTTTTCTCGGAATCTTCTACACAGACGGTGAGATTTCCTTATTCATGAGTTGAAAAAATTTAGTTGCTACATACTGTGAGCGTGTTCAAAAGATTGAAGTCAAATCAACTAGTTGAGACTGAAGACTAATGTTGACTCTTTCTTATTCCTATTTCTTGTCTGTCACAATTATTATTCACTGATATCAGCCTAAAAAATTCAATAGCTTTTCTTATCAATTGAAAGAATAGACTAAGAATAATAAGAATGATTACACTTGGACAAGCTGAAAAGGATTAAAACGTAACTGGGTTATTCTGTAAATCATTGGCTTGGAGCTTTTAAAAGTTCATACATACTTAATCTATTCTAACTTTTTGTCGTCTTTAGAGCTAACTGTAAGTTGTTTACTTCATGCGAAAAGAAATCAGAATTTAATTCTTTTAATTAATTTTTAATGGATTAAAGTCTATGATGAAAGTGAAAGCAGTTTCTATCAGAGTTCTGTTAAAATTAAAGAAACGAAGAAAACCCAAATACACAAAGCAGCAATTTTTGTTTGTTTTATGATTTTCAAGTAGTTTGCACTTATAGACTCTTTCTTCATCGTAAGTAAAACTACCAGTCTTCAGAGAGAACTTAAACTAAGCAGGCCTTAGATTTAGATTATCTCAGACTCACAGGCGCTAATTGTCAGACGCTTTCATGAGCAGTCTATTCATCATAAAATCTATACAGCTCACTTGCTTAGCAAATTTGTTCTTTCGCATGTATTATACTCATATCTAAGATAAATCTTGTATAGAATAAAATACCTGATTATTTGGGAGATGACTAGTCACCGTTTCAGTCTCGTGAATTAACTGATTGCTGGTCGTATTTGTCATTTACTCATTTGAAACAACCAATGAATCTCAGGACAGATTTGCGAAACGCTGCAAGATAAAATAGATAACTATCAGCGTACTTCCACATCAATCACAGATTTTTGAAAACATGTGTGTAATACAAAGCCGTACATGAGTAGAGACAAAATAATGCTGAACAAATCTTTAGAAGCAACGACCATCTCTCAAATAAGTTGCATTCTAAATTTCTGTCAGTAAAAATCTACTTGACTTAACAAGGGGATGTTTTATTCTGTTATCCTTATTTTCGTTCTGGATATTGGAAATAGTCTTACAGCCGCTTCCAACTAAGTTTTTTTTATTGATTATGATTCATTTTCTCTTTGTTTCAGATTTATCACATGAATGAACAGTACTGAAATTCAGAAAATTATACAAATCGGGAAACATGATTGTTACAACTTTCATTACACTAACGTTAAACATATAAGTGTTTGCGAAAGTAGTTATGCATAGTTTAGTCAGGGTTGTATTTCTGTTAATTGAGCTAATGGAAAACAAAGAAGATGAAAAAATTATTAACTTCATTGGTATGAATTATTACAGTTAACTGATGTGTGATAATGTGTCTGTGAGTAAAGTGGCATACTTTATCACAGAGGCGTGCGAGACTAGATTTGGTCATGCATAACACTCACCATGAAAACGACTATCCAATTTTTTCGATAAACTAACGTGAGCTTAATTAAGATAATTATCGAAAATGCACTAACATCCAGTGACGTGAGCAAGATTGTCTTTTACACTGATTTCATTAACTCGAAAGAACTTTCAGGTGACTGAGTTAATAAAAAATAGTCAAACAAAAAAGGAACAGTTGATGGAATAGTTTCCGATGACTTCTTAAGATTTTTGTATCGGTAGCTTCTTGTTTAATCAGAAGTTATTCTGTCCAGAATGATATAATTTAAATTTAATCTATTCAGTCTTCATTAACTCTGTAGACCAAATCAACGTTTTGCATTTCTACGAGATCTGTTAAAAATAATTCATTCTTATCTTATAATAACTCGTTTGTCACAGTTTGTGATGTTTAATTCTGTAGTATATCACAGTATACATGATTTAGTATGTATTCAATTAACTCGGTCTACCTAAGTTTCCTAGTCCATTAAATGCTACTGCTTCTCCATTTTTTTCCTGTCTGTTTTGAATCTGTACATGACAAGAATGGTCGTAAATTGGATTCCAGAAGTTTCTGGCATAATTAATCATAGTGTTTAGGAGGACTTGTTCGCCGAACTGCTTTTTTTATGCGATTTTTCTGTCATTTGTGCTCAATTCCTTTGCATGAAATTCATTTTTGTTCAGTGTCATAATGCTTAGAGACACGGTCTTTCTCATACTTTTATTTGCTGGTACATTTTTAGTAGTTACTGTCATTAATACCCTTCATTTCATCGAAAAAATCGGTTGATCGTTCTTCTAAAATGTTAAGGGTATTTAGCTTTATGCCTTTGAAATATTGTTTAGGCCGTTTGGCAGAGTTCGTACCCCATTATCAGTTTATATTTCAGTATAAGATTGACTCACAGGTATTTCTAAATCTCCACTGGGAAATCCTAAATCGTTTTTAAGCCTACAAATGAAATAGTCTTTCATCTTGTAATACATGCAGTATGAAGTTAAAGTAGTAATACCTATCTCACTCCTAATTATTCTCACTGATAAAAATTCAGTTTTAGTATTACCACTGAATGTACCACTCTTACTTTTCCTATTGCAACGATTGTTCAGGTATACCTGATGGTTATCCGGTAATCAATGTACCACCGAAAGCCAGTTCAGCCGCAGTTGGTGACGTAGCTCGGATGGACTGCGAAGTTTCTGGACATCCTCAGCCTATCGTAGTTTGGCTCAAGAATGAAATTCCCATTCGTAATACTGATAAGCGGATTACACTTGTTGGTAAGCGAAAAAATTAATTAATTTTTGATTCTTGTGTACCTTGACATATTAATTTTAGAATATACAAGTTCGTGCTTACCTGCTGCTTACTTATTTGAAATTATTTTGAATTAGTAAAAAGCAGGCTCAAAGTATTGCGAATGCCATAAGGTTATAAAGCATTGCTATTCTAATATGAATGCCTGTGAAACAACCAATATGTTCACTAGCCAGACACAAGTTGTGGTTGGGTTTTTATAAAATTAGGCTGTTTTGTCAAGTGGAATGAAAGAAAAGCCAAACGAGAATAAGATCAATTTGCGAAATTTTACTTGAACAAAAACCTATATGAATGTATGTATATATTCTCTTGCTGGCTTAAAGTGCTGATATTTTGAAAAGTTCTAAAGTAACTTATTCCCTAGCAATCTATCAAGTCTGCTCTTTCAAACGATCATAATAAAAAGCAATAGAGTAATAGTGAAAAGTCGAAACACGCAAATGTTTTATCATCCATTCAAAATATATTAGAACTTTAAAAAAATAACCTTTCTTTCGTCGTAACAAGTTATTCTACAGAAGAAATGATAATTAATATGTTTGAAGTGTAGGAAACTTATTATTTCATAATTAATAAACATATAAACATGATCGTGGTCTAAAGACGTAGAGGTTAAGCGCATACAGATATCTACTGACCACACTACTTCACATAAGCTTTATTCAGAAGAGTTGACTCAACATAAGGAGGTGATCTTCAAAATTTCTGGATGTGTTTAGCAGTGGAAATCTGTCCACTGGCATCCTGAATCAAACAAAAGATCAGAACATTGTTGTTTTTTGTTACCCCGGATGGTCTAACCTCAAGTATTCAGTGATATGAAAATATCAGCATTTCATAGAAACTTAACAGACTTGCTCCAGTGAAATAATTTGTTCGACGCTTGTAGTCGATTCAATACTTCTAAGGTGTACTTGAACCACACCATTCTGAGTAGTGTATAAATGCAAAATATATTATCTTACTTGCGCTGACATTTGCAGCAGGAATTATTGCAGGAATGCAGATTTTCTTCAAATTGATTTTCAAAAGCGTTTCTTCCTATATTTCATAACGTTAAATAAATTTCTTTCCGATTCAAGTCACCAGCTGCGAAGTTCTCACCCAAATGAATTCTCTTACTATCAGGAATTTAACTGAAATCTGAAGAACTCTGAACTGAACTTAATCACTCGATCAAGTACTTCAAGAGAACAGTGTATAATAATTTCACACTTTATGGTACTTAAGTCTACTTTATGTGGCAGACAGTTAACAACAGTTTTAATCTCAAATGAGAATATTTACTGTCTAAATGCTGCAAGAGAACGGATACTATTAGTTATGATGAATCTGGTTATTTCACATTCTTTAGTAATTTACGAATATAAGACTGTTTGTTTCACTAAAATAAGGTATCTTATTTAGTTGATTAATCACGAATCAGTCATTAATAAACCTGACAGTGATGAGGGTGAAATTCAAAATTATTTAGACATTTCTATGGAATTTATTTTTAATTCCCAACGTAATTTTACAGCTACCAAAGAAACCGATATCTTCCCAATGATTGATGATTTCTGACCTTACCGAATCATGGTGTACAGCTACTCTCTGACTGATAACACCAAATTACTTTTAACAACAATAACTAACTCGATTGACCAAAAGCATATTTTATCATGTCCATTTGTGAACTTACAAACCACTAGCATGACTTCCAAAATCATCACTGGCTGTGACAGTTGTTGAAAGCTTTGAATATTTAACCGATTATATAAATGAAATATGTAAAATCCCGATGAAGTAGAAAAATTTCTGACATTGGGATTTTACAGATATATTTCATTTATAATCGAATTATCTAATGCCCAACTTCAACTCCGGGTCAAATTTTGATCCTGAAGTTCACAAAATAACTGATTTGTTTAACATATTGTAGTGTATTCGCCACAATATTCTCACGAAATCCTTAATGCGTAATGATTAGTTTAGTTGGTGAAGTTTTCATAGCAAAAGCTTGTACACCTGCAAAAGTCTATGTTCACACTGTTCGGCCTCCCTCGTAATCGTTCACACTGTGCATTGTCTTTCAACTCCAGACATTTTCATCTTGAATAAGAAATATTAACACTGGCCGTTTGATATTTATCGTAAAATATCTTTGATGTGGTCACTAGAGCTGAAATCCCACTTTACTAATCTCGTAATATAATAATTGCATGTCATCTAGAATAACTCGCTGTATACATTGGCGATGTAGTTATTTCAATCACCGTGAAGCCGAAACACTACAAATCTTTCTAACACAGAACATTTTTACATACATAAGGTAAAAGAAGGCAGTGTTGGCAAGGAAAATTCAATAAAACTATCAGCAATCCTATGACAGAATTTCTAAATTAAACTTAGAGAAAAGATCATAACTTTTCGGGATAAATTTTTATTACTTTCTTTTTAAAGCATATGACAAACCTGTGAAACATTATGCACATATCCAAGGATATCATTCTTTACAAGAGCCTTACACTGATATATATATATATATACTCTAAAACAAGAAGAGTGAGGAAAGTCATTACAATCCACAAGCTGAGCAGAAATTAAATAAAATTAAACGGAAGCCATTTTTCTTCTTTGTCCTTCTGCCTTATCTACAGATCACAAAGAGTTTTTACATCATCAAGTTACGCGTTTTTCATGCAGTGACGAAGTTTTGGGAATTTTACTGGTAGGATAGATACAGAAAATCATGGTTGGTGACTAAGACATGCCAATAAGTAGATCATCAGAAAATTATAAACTGGTGTGCCTAAGTGATTCACCTATTAATCAACATGCTGATGAAATATGCAAGACGATTTCCGTTTTAAGGATGTGTTACAAAGAAATTCGTATCCTTCATCTTTTCATTCTGCTAAAACGAGTACCTATCAGAGATAAGGTTATGCATGAAGTGATTCCAGTTATATATGAGACGGTAAGATAAAGTGTCATAATTTTAAGACAACCAGGCTTAGAGATTTTAAAAATATCTGCAGCAAAAAATGATGTTCCGAGTGAACACGTGTACAGATATTTCTATTATGAACTGACGTGAAGTGATGAACTACTGGAAAATAGGGAGTAGTGGATGCTGTTTCATCCTGGTTTAAGACCTCTTGGTAGTACAAACCCACTACCCTGTAAAGGAATAAGTATGGGATTATCGGGCTTCGCAATGAGTCTCCGGGAATTCTAGTTAAAAACTGTGATTTATAGTTTTGACCAAGCTGATAGTAGCCATGCATGTTTTGTGGTGGAGTTGAGTGGCAGGTAAGCTATATCCTAATTGGAGAGATGTTGGAAGAAGAGGAAGACTCAAATTCAACCAAGAGGGTTAAATGTTCATTGTTCAGGGCAAGACCTGATGATCTTGGGCACAAGCCTTTATAGGTTCATACATGTTCACCGTTGAGAAGTCTTATACTACAAAGAAACAGTTATCCAATGTTCTCAGGTTTCCAACCATTTTTCAGTCAATACTGATTAGTGATAAAAAGAATACTTTCAAATCGGTTTCAATTTATTCACTAAGAGGATATTTATTTGTCCACGCACAGAGTTTGGGAAGGCCGTCTCACCATTATTTGAGTTCTGTAGCTAGCTTTTAAATACATGGGTCGATTTTCACCGTAAGAAAGACTCATCGCCTGGATGTTATCGAACCAAACTAGTGAGTATTATTAACAGCCCCAGTGAGCCATGAGAGGCATTTAATGTACAAATAATATTGTTTATCATTTGTGTACACTTTTAAATTTTTTTCATACCTTTACTCAACTCCATTAGTCAGATCTACTTAGCATATGGCCTTCTAAAAAGTTGAACTTTACTTGGCAGAAGAGTCTGTTAAAGAGGTACTTAATCATTTCTGTACATAACCAGAATTGGTAAACTTGAATTTCATAGGGGAGTGGATAACGAAAAAGGATACTGGTTGCCACCCAGCAAAGATCACGACAAGAATCTTTTTCATCCTAAATTTTACTTGATTCGTTTAGTAACGTATCCAATTTTATTATCAATTGCCATAGGAAAAGGCTTTCTTCGACATCCCATTACCAACTCTGTAGTTAGAAAATCAGTGTCCTATTCAACTCTGTCAAAACCGTTAAATCAGGTGTCGTTATTTTGAAATCATACCTCATCTAAAGGGGAAACGGAAAAACTGGTTGAGACATCACTAGTTGAAATGCAAAAACGTTATCTAAACTGAGATTTTCACTTATTTAGGAGTTAGCAGTATTTTTCAACAAATGTTATTTACTTCAGAACAGTCAAACCATTCATTACTCCCGGTTTTAATTATTGTATTCAAAATAATGTGCAGAATTAACTGTCTAATTTTATTTTCCTGCACTGAATTCAATCTGTATCCTTTGCCTCATCGCTAGTTCCTTTTTTCCGAAGATATACAAGGCATCTTTTCAGTAAATCTGCTGACTTTCCAACATTATCATAGACCAGCTGCTACTACTTTATTGCCACATTTTCCTCGGTAGTTTACTACATTCTTAAGGACAGGATATGTGCTTAAGGACTGCCATCAATTTACAATTCATAAAATGCCATTTGTTAAGTATGATGGTTGTTGCGCTTACAGCTTTGATGCCGTGAAATTATTTCTTTACACATTAATCAGAAGATAAGGGATGACAAATGTAGATATTTAAATCTATGCGACTCATCATTGAGTTCTGTAGTGATTTACCACACCTGAATATCAGAAAGTAATAAAAATTAAGATAAGTAAAGAAGGGAAATGATAATCAAAGCAAAGACAATGACCGACTATGTAAACAAGAATAACGAATTCCCGTCATAAAGACAAATATATATATATATATATATATATATATATATATAAATGAATTTCCTAGTACTTACACAGAAATAAGTTCCATCTGAATGAATTTTTCTTCTTGACTGAATCAAAAGT